CTCTGGAAGGCAGAGGTTCCTGTGAGCTGAGATCACACCACTGCACTCCAGCGTGGGTGACAGAGTGAGACACTGCCTCAAAAAAAAAAAAAAAAAAGTTTCTTTTTCTATTAGAATAACAAAGTGGTAAAAAGATGGCTAAGATGAGGTAGTCATAGTTCAGTTCAGTAGAAAATAGGATTTGTATTAAAAAAACCAATGGTTCGTGAGGATGCAGAAAAAATGGAACTCGCATTCATCGTAGAGGGGGAATGCAAAAATATAGTAACTTTGGAAAATTTTGACAGTTTCTTATAAACTTAAACATACACCTGCCATACAACCCAGTAATCACGTTCCTGGGTGTTTATCCAAGAGAAATGGAAACTTACGTTTATATAAACGTGTACATAATTGTTTACAGCTATTTTATTTGGAGATGTCCTCAAATGGAAACAACTCAAATGTCCATCAACTGTGAATGAATTAACAAACTGGGTTACATCCATATAATGGCTTATTACTCAGCAATAAAAAGGAAACATATGACCAATATAGATGTATATACAGGCTCACACCTGTAATCCCAGCACTTTGGGAGGCTGAGGCAGGCGGATCACTTGAGGTCAATATATTATACATCTATATTGCAACAATATAGATGAATTGCAAATGTATTATTATAACTGAGAAAAGCCAGACTCAAAAGGCTATATACTGATAATTTCACTTCTATAGCATTTTGTAAAAGGTAAACAATAGGTACGGAAAATAGACCAGTGGTTGATAGGGCTGGGGGTTGAGGAAAAGGGTCAGCTAAAAAGGGGTAATGAGGGAATTTTTTTGAGTAATGGAACTATTCTATATATTGATTGTGGTGGTGCTGATGCAACTGTCTGCATTTGTCAAAAATCACAGACATGTCTGCTAAAAAAGGTGACTTTTATTCTTTGTAGATTATACCTCAATAAACCTTACTTAAAGGAAAAAAACAAAACAAAACAGGACTTATCTCTTAGTTACTAACTGCCATGGGCAAGCCACTTAAAACTCATTTCTCCATCTATACAATAGGAATTATATTTACTCTAAAAGAATTTTGGTGGGGAGCAAATGAAGAAAAGAAAATAATTTTATGAACTTTAAAGCTCCACACAAATACTCTACCTACTATAGGCACTGGGCAACACTGATAAAGAAGACAAGAGGCACACTAAGGAAATTTACTGTCTAGTTGCAGAATAAGATAAAACAGATTATTATTAAATAATATGGGGAAATTAGTGACAGATATCAACAAAACAAGAAGGGGCATTCTAGGAATAAGAATTAACTCTAAGAAGTATATCAAAAGTTGAATAAAAAAGGACAAAATTACAGTGAGACATAAGTAAGTCATTAATGAACATGCACAACTGGGATCCAATAATTTTAACCTGATAGCAGTTTTTAAAAAAGCCTAAAATGATTAAAATTATAACAAAATAGGAAAAATACCTCACGATGATTTAGAAGTTGCTCTAAATCTAATGCCATTTGATTCTTCGTCTGTAGTAAAGCTGACTTTTCTTTATTTAAGTTGCTGAAAAAAAAAAACCCCAAGTTTTAAAAAGTCATTATGTTAGCGTAGAGTTAATAAATGGCAAATATTAAAAGAATAAACACGAATCTGATGGTTTGAATTAAAGATAAATTTATAATCCATAAATATTCCAGACTAGCCACTAAAATGTTTGGCTTAATGAATGGCCTATTTTGTCAGAAGATTCTTTTTCTTTTATTTTCCTTTCTTTTCTATTTTCTTCCTTCCCTCTCCTCTTTTCTTTCTCTCTCTCTCTCTCT